GGACACTTGCCCCACACACAAATGGACAATTGCCCCACACACAAATGGACACAATTCCCACACAAATGAACCCTTCCCACACACAAATGGACACAATTCCCACACAAATGAACACTTGCCCCACACAAATGACCCTGCTTCATTTCCTCCTTCCATCCCACCTTCCTCCTCGCTACCCCACTGGAAACCCTTTATAACCACGAACAGCCATTCCCAGGTGTGGTTATTCAGGTTTAACACAGCTCACCCTCCCTGCCCTCAATTCCTGCACTCCCCACGCCCCCAGGACACCTCAGAGGGAAAGGCTCGGGGCTGCTCCTGACTTCTCCCTGCCCACTGATCTCCTGCCCAGCCTCGCTGCTCCCACCTTATCTCCAGCCCCACAAACAGCAGCTCCCACATCACGTGGCTGCTTTGATCTTGTGCCAAAGTCACACTTTATGTTTATTTTTTTCCCTTTCAAGTGAAAAAGACAAACGTGAGGTTGGATTAATTTTGAAATAGGATTTTTTTAGCACAAAAATATCCCTTTAAGCTATACCACTCAGCCCAGGAAGTGTTTTAGTGATGCCATTGGGCAGCCCCTGCTCTGCTCCAAGCCTTGGCTGATAAGGAGCTCACCCAGCCCAGGATGAAGAACAGATGGAAAAACTCTGGCATGAGCCAAGGGCAGGAACCACACCAGCAGCACCTGGGGATGTGCACCATTCCAGCAGATCCCAGAGAGACTGGGTTATCACACACACAGAGCTCCTTGGTACCAGGGACAGGGAAATCACACAAACTGAGGAACAGCAGGAAAGGCCCCCAGTTCCCAATTTTAATTTCCCCAGTCATTAATAAAAAGAATTAATGCTGTCGAGTCTCAAAAGGAACACCCCAATTTTGGAATGATCTGGAGTAGGGTAAAGCCAATGGAAAGGGAACAGAAAATCCATGAGGAAGACACAGTTTCCAAGGAATTAAAACCTGCTGGTTCCAAAGTTTTCCAGGAATTAAACCTTGGTGGTTCCAATGACTGAAACTCAGAACTGCAAGAGGAGCAGCTCACCCTGACAGACACAGATGCACTGAACAAGGCACAGTCTCTGCAGGGGACCTGCAGCAATTGAAGATCCTTGCTCCAAGCACAGATTTCATGGGATGGCAGCAGGTGTAGGACACTCTAATTTAACAATTATTGACTTAAATATGACCCTGTTTTAGGAGGGAGGATACTTTTGATGAGAAGGCCGAGATTTTTGTTATAGCATAGAAGTGATGAGGAGAAAGTGAGGGGCTCACAGGGCTTTGCACAGCACATCTGTGCCTTTCACATGTTAAACACTAAATTACTTTTAAAATTAAATTCTAGATGGAGACAAACAATTTACACATTTATTGTTCCTGCA